ATTTATAATTGATTGATTTAATTGACTGATTTATAAAATAAAATCAATGATGTTATACAAAACGTTGATTATGAATTAATATACTTATTACAAACAAATATATAATGAATCTATTAATAAATAAATAACCACTCGCTAGATTTTGGAACAGAGCTCTTGTTTAGTTTCTTGAATGAATAATGAGGCCAACAGGCTTGACAGGATAAGAAATCAATGACCAGATTCTTTCGGATATAAAGATCATCTGCATTACTAAGATTTTTCATTTTCTGTTGTTGATGTTCTGCCACCACCATGAATAACTGAAGGGAGGAGGGTGGAGTTTTCATTGTTCAGAGCATTTCATTGTTGTTGTCATCAAACATGAATTACAGACAGAAAACCACCCACATTATTTCCCCTTACAAACCTACAGCTATACTCTAATGCAGTTAAACCAAAAACAAAACTCCCTTTGCTTCAAATAATCCACTTTAGCTGAAATTACAGCCTATCATTTAAGGACGCCCAATATTGGAAAGGGCACAGTAAGTGAATGTCATCTTTTTTTTTTTACTGAAACCTTTTTTTCACTCCCTGGTTTCTAAACCATGTTTTCATCATTAAAGAATAATGGTGTTCTCTCAGAACCTTTTAGGAGACAGAGAAGAAGAGGAGTCTGATAAAACTGAAGGATGTGCATCGCTTTTTTCCGGCTAAAAAATTTAAAAAAATAAGAGGGATGAAAAATGAAGAGCGCGAGGCTCGGCACTCCTGAACATGTGATGTGCGGAAGCAAAAGTAAGCCAAAGCAAGGGCGGGCGACACTCCACCCAGCAGTGAAATCATCAAACTTTTAATGACTTGGGTAATTACCCCTAGTGAGCCTGCTTAATGGCGTACAGCGGACGTCGTTAGGCACAGAGGTCCAAACGCACACACTGGCACACAAACGCAGCTGTGAGAGAACATGTCGAATGTATGGAAACAAAGCCAAAAGGTACCTGATGAAATCGCGTGCGACAATTTTTCTCTCTCGGCTTAACAAGGAGTTTTCCTGTGCGTGTTTTTGCAGAACTCTTCCCTTGAGTCTTTACACTAGTGTTCACGATAATACTTTCCATCCTCTGTGAATCAAAGAGCTGTCACAATACAATCAGAGCTACAATGGAGTGATGCTGTTTTCACACTGACAGCACTCATTAGGGTCCTTTGAGACCATCACTGTAATGATAAGTTTTCTACTAGGGGAGTAATTCAAAAGCATGTTACTACCACTATCACATGAGACAGGTGTACGACATCATCAGGACAAATAATTACAGGCTTAAAGAGCCGTAGAGGAAATCAGAGTTTGTACCGAGTGGACGATGGACAGGTGGAGAGCGAGAGTGGGGGTGGGGGGTCAGGATCATTCTGTCCTCCTGCGCTATTATGGCAGTCGTCCCCCTTACACAGCTTTGCAATTAGCATGTCAGCCTGAGCTGTTCAGTGAGGTTCACCAAATCCTCTCCTTTTCTTCTTCTCCTTTTGCTGTCATTCCTTCCTCCTCCTACAGGCCGCACTTAAGGGGCTTTTGGTGGAAAGCTCCAGAAGGACAGGGCTGCATGCATGACAGGATCTCCAGTTCCTCCATATTTCATAAAGTGTGAGAGCGCTGCCGAGTGAGAGCCGAGACACTCTGTCTTCATTCTCAAAAAATAATGCATTCATATCCCTTTCTTCCACTGATGGGACTCAATCAATGCTTGAATTGACGTTTGTTGTGTGTTCAGACTTTTTCCTGGTGAGTTTCCTGGCGAATCAATTCGAAGAGCTGGATCCGATGCCCACCAAGATCTTCCAAACCCCTCGGGGGTGAATAATATTGCAGGATACGTGTACAATGAACATACCTCTTGCCTCTGAACCTATTGTTTTGACAGATACTGCAATTGCAGACCTCTCGACCCCCGCTACGCTCTCCTAAATAAATCCTGATAGGTCAACAGGCTTTCCAGAGCCCTTCTCATAATGATACGAGACACCCCTGCTGACGCCCGTGCTGCAGTACCGCCACTGTGTTTAATTAGGCCACTTAAGGCATTCTCTCATTCTAATGCAATGAATAAAGATAGCTCCAGGCACAGCCGCGCAGATAAGGATTTTAATTGTCTTCTTTCAGTGGGCCCAGTATGCTAATGGCCATCTCCCCAGGGTGAGGAGAGCACCCTAGAGCGAGCAGGAGACTGGGTTCAAGCTAGCAAGGGGGAAGAACTTTGTGTGAATTCACACAAAAGCTCGAATAAAGGGCTTACATCTTTCTCCATTTGTCTCCAAAAACTCTCTGCTGAGCAAGTCGACCACACTCACGGCTGAGCCTGTGCGCCACTGATAACCGCTCTCTCCGATGAGTGCCGTGAAATTTGGATTCTGATGGACAAGAGTGCTATTAATTACCGTGCGGTGTATTGTCTCTCGTACGTACGTGTATATGGCAATAACAACGGAGAAAAGAAAAGGCGGTATTGTGATATGTTTAAAGTTTTGAGCCACAGCGAGTATGAATTCTTGAAGGGGTCACCCAAAAATTATTTACCCCCCTCGTGTCCTTCCAAACATGTATGTGTTTTTTTCTTCAGTGGAACACAAAAAATATTCTAACGTTACAACACACGACAAAAAGGTATTCGCGACGATTAACAGCAGATTCTATTTTTTAAAGGTTTCTATTTCTGCGGCATCGCTGGAGCAATGTCATACAAACTAAATTTGGATGAACTATCCCATTAAGATCGGTTGAATATAATACACTGAATCAAATAAACAGCCAGTCACAAAGTGATTATACAGTAACTTTCTCTTCTTTTTCCTGATTCTTTCTGCCCTCTCTTGCTTTTTATTTTTTATTTTATTTTTGCTGATGTTGTAAGCCGGGGCAGATAGTGCAGATGCTGATGTTTCTAGTAGACATCTTCTCTTTGCCTGCCTTCCTATTTGGATCCCACCCAGGACCTGGTGTTATGCTGATAATTGGCCTGTCCTGTAAATTTGAGTTTCTCACTTGGCTGAACTGCTACCTCCACAGTAACTGTCAGAGAGGTGGGAGGAGAGCTGGGGGCAAGGAGGGAGGAGGGCACGGGCTGTTATGTTATCACCCTCAGGAGAGTGAGCAAAACCTCAATTAGCTTTCCGTGAGCATGGCAAGAAAGTTATTTCACCGACGAGACAGTGCAAATGATATTTTGAGTGGGTGTGAATGGGTGCGTCAAGTCTAACTGGAGAGACGTGGACTGACGGCTGACGCATACTTTTTTCATTATCAAATAATTTAACATGACAAATGGAGTGGCTTCCCCTTTCAAACGGACATTAGACATGCCATGTATGTTTGAACGGATCTGTACGTGCCCCACATCTGTTTTGTATGTGTGTTTTCCCTTCTCTGCAACGACAGTGACGAGACAGGACTGTGTTATGTTATTTATATTTAGTGCGAGTAGACAAGGGTGAATTCCAGTCTGTCTCTGTCGCTGGCCAGATCATTGGCACTTTTCTGAGGAAAGGACAGGAAAATAGAGAGAGAGACAGAAGCAGAAAGAGGAAGATGGAGAGAGAGAAGGGCACAGCGCGTCCCACTGTTCCTCATTGTAATGAGAGGGTGCCGTGGTGCAGTGGCTGCTCCTAATTACTACCAAGCAGCTGCAACCGCAGGGAGGAACGGTTCCTGCCGGGCCCCAGCACAAATCCACCAGTGTGGAGAGAGAGAGAAAGAGAAATAAAGAGAGAGAGAGAGAGAGAGAGAGAGAGAGAGAGAGAGAGAGGAAAAAGGGAGAGGCCTATAGTCGCCCCACTTCACCCCAGTCACCCCTTGCTCCGTGTCGCTGCCACACTGACTGGCTCGCACCAGCTCTGTCTGCCTCATCAGCTTCTCCGGACCAAAATTTCAGGGTGGTGTGTGGGAGCCGCGTCTGTAAATATGGCTGGAAATGTGTCCCAGTCCCTTTTTATGGCTCTTGCTGTGTGTCTATCCAGGAATGCTGGGACAACATGTTTAGCCAATGAACAGATGGCCCAAACTAAGCAATAATTAAATAGGTCTTTCAGGCCTGTTGTGTTTGCTGTGTAAGATCATGAATGCATTCAAGTTCTATTGAATCTATCACCATTACTCTTCTAGTTTTCGGTGTCACATGACCCTTCAGAAATCATTCTAATGTACTGATTTGCTCAAGAAACATTTGTTATAGTTATCAGTGGTTGTGCAGCTTAACATTTTTGTGGGTACATTTTTTCAGGATTTGTTGATGAAGAGAAAGTTCAAAAGAACAGCATTTATATAGAAATCCTTTTAAACTTCATTAACATCTTTACTGCCACTTATGAACTATTAAATGCATCCTTGCTAAATAAAAGTATTAATTTCTTTAAAAAAATTTTTTTTAAATCTTACTGACCCCAAACTTTTTGAATGGAAGTGTAAGTATCCTCAATTTGACTCTAAGCTATATATTTACTATCAAAAACTAGAAAAATAAATCTATATAAAAAAATCTAAATATAAAATTTTTCTGTCTCTGGGTTTCAAATGCTCCAAATAAAGGATGCACAAATATAAAAAATGCAGGCTGATATGGCTGATTAAGTTATATATGGCCAATATTAAAATCCATTTTGTCTAAATAAATTAAACACTGAAAACCTACTTTTTATAAGCTACAAGGGAATTTAGGAATCACAATATTATATTTTACATAACGAAAAATGGATATTCGTTTTGAGTTTTACTAAAGATTACATTTATCAGTGTTATTAAAAAATAACTTTGACAGCAAAGGTAATCTAAATGTCAAAATAGAGGATACAATAAGTAAAAAGGCTGTAATATCAATCAATAATCAATTTGGTACCAATATATTATGTATGCCTCGTTCCAAATGTCAAAAAATGCTTTTTAGCTAGCATCTCACTAGGTTCCGAGACATACATACAGTAGATACTGTGGGAATAAAAGAAGGATGATGTGTAAAGGAGCTACTGACCTGCCGGTTCCTCTCATCCATGATCCGTGTGATCTGTATCTTCTTCCGTCCCATCTTGGCGTCCTGCTTGGTCTCTCTGACACCCCGAGAATATCAGAAAAACACGAGAGTTTGTCTGCCTTCACTCCCCTAGCACATTGTACTTCACTCTTTCTTCTCGAGTCTTTGTCTCTCACTCTCTTTCTTTCTGCGTCTTTTTCTTCAGGTGTCCACACCACGGTCTGTGAAACAGAATGAGAGTGAGAAAAAGAGACAAAAGAGAGAAAACACATTAAAAAAATGTGCAAAACTCAAAAGAGGAGGTCTGATGCAGATGAAAGTGACTAAATGCAAAATTTTCCACTGCCTGATACATGCAGGAAGGATATAAGACGGAGACCCACAATGATTTCTTATCTTCACACCTGCTTCCCTTCAACAGCTGGAGATCGGCCCACTCACAAGACATTTATCATTAGCCTCAAATTCTAAAACGCTGTATAGTGGATCTGTAATTGTGATGCTCATTCACCCAATTTTTCTATTTAGATTACCACTGTTGATCTCTAACACTGAATTAAGGTCATTGCACAATTTCGCACGTTAAAAAATAAATGCGACCTCACACTGTAACAATTACGTTTACACACTGCCTCTGAAACTTTCGTCCGTCATAAAAAAATTCGGATCAGGTTCGTTGTTTTTTTTCCGCGAATACAAAAAAAAATGCATACGAAAATGTTGGACTCAGTGTGCAAAGATCTTTAATCAATCCTAATAGTTAAAATTGTAAAATTACACTTTATATTGCATTACAGTGAATGTAATGCAATCTTAATAATGTTGTGATGCCAACATCACATATCACTTCTCTTTACATACCCTACAAAAACATCTACGCAATCCTATCTGTCAAACGCTCCATCAGAGTTTTCTCTCAACTGTAGACTCCCTAAAACAATATTTAATAAGCATCATAATGGTGTCCTGTGGCTGATTGACAGCTATGTGGCAGACAGCTAACTGAATGAAAGTAAGCAGACTAATAAGCAAAGACAAAAAACTTGTGGATGCTTCCTGCTGACTTCAGGCTTAAAGAGAAGCAAGCCTTAGCAGATAAGCCAATATGACACCAATAAGCGGGTCATAAACTCATCTGTCTGGTTTCAGAATGCACACGATGCATAAAGTCTCTTTGGTCATCTCGCCCTGTTTCTTTACTCGTTTCCCTCCTTCCCACGTATCTCTATGTCTGCATCTCTCTCTAAAACAACCTGGGACACAAGCACGCACACCCTGCCTCTGCACAGCGTCTCAGGAGACAGCAAGCAGGCCTCATTCTCCCTCTCATAACCCCGGCTGCTGCCAGCTCTCGCTCCTAAGATGATTAAGAGTGCACCCAGTCTCGGGCTGACATTAGTTTAAATCCTCTGGGCCAGATGAGGCAATTCACACGTGAGAGAGAGCGTGGAAGCCAAGTCAAGAAGGTTCAGAGCACAGTTCGCCCCCGGGGAGCCCACGAGTCGCCCCCTCTCCCACTTCTGTCCCTGTCTCCCCTTGCTAACCTGCCCACAAAGAGCCGGCTACCTCTCAGAGGAAGCATTCATCATCTCCGTCCAGCATGGACACAGATGAACACGTAAATAGAAAATGCCTATGTAACCACATCTCACATCTGAGAGACGCTGAGGGAGGGCAGAAACTCTCTCCTCCGGAGAGGCCGAAAGAGCGCCACACGCTTTGTAGCCGCACGATGCCAGCAAAAAGATGTGGAAGTTGATGACCAGGAGGCTGTGAGTGACCCACAGGAAATAAACACCATAATTACTGGCTGAACAGAAACGGGTGTTTAGGTGTCTGCAGGTCTCTATTAGGAGTGAGATCACACTGTCTGTCCACAGAAGGAAACTCTGACAACAGGCAGGCAAAATCAGACATTTCCCTATACCACATCACGCCAGGCCTCTGAGTCCAACACTGTTCTTTCTCAGTCACCATGTCCCCCAGCAGGAAGGAAAAACACTCTTCGCTCGACGTTCGTCCTCACGACACGTGCGCATTGTTTGTTTTGAGTGCTGGGCATATTCAAACTTTCATGATGGAAATGTGTTTAGAAATCCTACAACAATGGACGTTTTTCCAGGGTGATCTGAGTTAGGCTGAAAGAATGCAGAGCGGATTGACAGAGGGATTATTCATTTTTTATTCATTACTATTATTAACTTAATCATTTAATTTTAAATATATACACTATCATTCACAATTTGGGTCTGCTAAGTTTTTTTTTTAATTCAGAAAAAATATTACAATTTAAAATAACTTATTGGCTTATATTTCAGTATATTTTAAAATGTAATTTATTGAACTTTCAGCAGCAATTACTCCAGTCTCAGTGTAGGGCTGCACAATTAATCAAATTTCTAATCGCGATTACAATTATGGATGCCACAATTTTGTAATCGTTCAAAGTCCACTTATGTTATTCTGCATGCTTAAGATATGTTTTTTTTCTTTCTACATGTTATCTTAAGGGTTTTTACATTGTTTTAGTTTTAGTATAACATTATAGTACCATTCCTATTTTAACTTTTTTTTATAATTTAAAGAAGAAACCAATCCGATGTATAGTTGACATTTGAGGCTTAATACTATAGAAAAGCACTAAAGGTTTTTCAGTTAAGAGTGTTTTCAGCTTGTTTACTTTCATGTAAAAATACGGCATGCAGTTGCATCAAACAATGGTATAAACATCATTCAATGTAAATTGTGATAATCGTAATTAATAATCACAATTACAATTTCAAGGGAATAATCGACAATTATGATTTTTGTCATAATCGTGCAGCCCTAGTGTCACATGATCCTTCAGAAATCATTCTAATATGCAAATTTTTTGATCAATAAATAATTATTCTTATTTTCAATACTGAAAAACCTTTATGATGGAAATGTGTTTACAAAACCTACACCAATGGGAGTTTTGGGGGGTGGGGGTGATTTGTGTTGGGCTGAAACTATGCTGGATTGACTGCAAATGCAACATATTCTATTCACTGTCGATGAACAACTTTAAACTTGAGAGATTAAAACCGAACAGTTTATTTGTTCGCTTTTTAATCCGTCAAACTGAAATGAAAACATTTGGCTTAACCATCCGAAGCTTACGAGCTCCTTGATTTAAAATTTACATGGTTGAAGTTGAGGGCTTTATCTGTGTTTGTTGTGTGCATAACAATGCTGTTCTGCTTATCCAAACACAGCACAACATAATTACATGTATCCAGGCTTGTAGCTCTAAATCGTATTTGTGAGCTGTCATGCTCGTCTCAGAGACTGCGTAATGCATTGTGTCATGACATTTCTGTCAACTTAACAGACATAGACAAGCTACGGTCCTGCAGTGCAGGCAGGCTCTGAATGACTTGTGTCGCGCACGCAGAATGGGACTCTATTACCGCACGAGTGTGTTTTGTTGATCGTGAGTCTCTGTTTATTTCTCTGAGACATTCTGGCACACTGGTGGAGTGGTAGTGTCTTGTACGGAGATACAGGGGAATGGATGTCATTTGGCCCTGTATCATAAGGCCTGGTTTCACTCAGGTTGTCCATGAGCCTAGACATTTGTTTAGACTATAATGTTAAAGGTGCAGTAGGAGATCTTGGAAAATGCTAACTTTAGCCTGATAGCACTGAAAACGAATGTCCCACCCTCCCTGCAATCGCCGTCCAAAGCCACGCCCCCTTAACGCATTTACGCTCACAGACCAGAATACCAGAGACAACATTACTACAATAGGCTACATCAGTGGTTCCCAATTCCAGCACATGTTCCACAGTGAAGTAAACTTCAACAGATTTCCCCCACTCAGGTAGTAGGGAGCAATGAACACTGTGTAGGGATCATATCGATTGGCTCACTTCTAACGAGCTGGCACGAGGACTCATGTGAAAGTGAAAGTGAAAGTGACGTGACGTGGCCAAGTATGGTGACCCATACTCGGAATTAGTGCTCTGCATTTATCCCATCCAAAGTGCACACACACAGCAGTGAACACACACACACCGTCAACACACACCCGGAGCAGCCATTTTTTTGCTGCGGCGCCCGGGGAGCAGTTGGGTTACAAGTCCGACTCTCTAACCATTAGGCCACAACTTCCTCATGTGTCATTCACCGGTGAGAAAACTTTAAAAGTACTACAATACCAGGAAGGAAGATCAGGTTGTTGATGTTTGTCTGCCATTCTCGCTCTGTCTGCAGTCTGCACAGCGTGCGTGAACGCGCTGATGGCGTATCCTGTCTGCGCGAACCCGGTGTGTAGAGGTATGCTAATACATACGTTGACAGGCAGGTAGGAAAGCATATTAAAACGCTCGGACCGAGCAACCAGCATAACAAAAAATGTTTCTGAAGACAATCACCTATTGCACCTTTAATGTAAAATTACAGAACGTGTACAATTATAGAATTAATTAAAATTAATTATAGACAGAATTACAAAAATTTTAAATATATTAGTTAAAAAATATGAGGTTGGTAAGATTTTTTTTTTTCGTTTTTGAAAGAAGTATCTTATGTACACCAAGGCTGCATTTATTTGATCAGAAATGCAGTAATTAACATTTATACTACAATATACTTCAAAATGAAAATTGCTGAAAAATGTTGTGCTGCTTAATATTTTTATCAAAACCATGATCATGAGATCTGAGTGCAACAATGTATATAGACGCTTTTAAAAACACAAAGACATTAAAAAGGAATGCAAACAGTCTGGTGTATTCTAGTTCTTTATAAACACTTGTTCTCCAATTATCTCGCTGTACTGACTGTGTTGATGATATATTGTACATGGCTTATCTGCTACAGTCATATTTAACTGAAGGGAGCTATGTGAATGTATCTGATAGAAACAATGTTTGTTTAACACGTTTACAGCGAGCAGGAATGTGCACGTGTGAGTAATCTCTCCTCCAAGCCCTACAGATTCTAGCTTTCATGAAAAACAGGGAGTTTCTTTATGGTCTTTATTAAGAAAAAGTGCCAAGAGCATGAACATTTAACGCTGTCAATCACAATGCTAATGATATATAAACGGCTGCTTAAACCTCATTCCAATGACAACGCTTCTGGCATCCCTCCTCCTCCCTCACTTCACCTTTATTCCCTATAATTAATCTGGTCCTGTAGAGTGTATTACAGCTCAAGTTGAGTCTTGTGTTCAAGCCCCTTCATTTCCGG